GTGCAAGTCATTTTTCTCTCTCTGCTCTATCCCTCCCTCTTCCCTCCAGTCATTTCAGATTCTCGTGTGTCTCGGCATGCGTACAGTCACCTTGTGCTTCAGCAAAGCTCAGCCAATTGTACAACATCCCAGTTTCTCTGTCAGCCCGCAGCCAGCCTTTACCTGCCGCTGGTGCTCGACCTGTCCGCTGCCTGCTTCCCCCGACCCCTACCACTCGCCGGCCTTGGATCGGCGATACACTCGCCGCCCGGACCTTGCCTTTACCTGCCACCGGGTCCGCTCCAGCCTTTCCCCAGCCCTCGCCAGGCCCCGGATTTCCAGAGCCGGCCTGCCCTTTGATTTCCCGCCCTGTGAGTACCCTTGAGTTGTTAATGTAGCTTTAGTTATTCCATATTAGTTTTTTCCTTAAATCCCATTCTGTTTTTTTGTAGTTTTGCCCCTTTTTTGAATGAAGTTTGGTTCGTCTGAGTTCAGTCTCATCCCCCTCGCCCAGTTATCCCGCCTTTGTTTCTAATTACCCCTCTTGGTTATATTAATCTGCCTTTTTATTACTTTAATTCATTTCCTTGAGGTTGTGTTGTTAGGTTTAGTTTGATTAGTTATTAGGGCCCGAGCACTGACAGTGAAAGGAGTCTCTTGAACATCTGCACATCCCAACTTGCGACAAATTTGATATTTCAAATTAACCCTAGAACAATAACGGTAAAATCAGTAACACCATCACTAACGTCGGGTATATTTTACTGGTTTTCTGGACATTTCTTTTTTTTTGCAGATGTAAATTAACATGAGCTACATATGACTCACTTACTAGCATGCCAGAGTAACTAAGCCTGTGACAGGATGACAACTGTGGATGAATGGGGCAGAGAATGTGGCCGGCCTGAAAGTTGTTTCCTTTGAAAAGTGCAAAGAGTGCATGATTTCAACACACAAACACTAACATTGGGTAAATTCCACCCATAAACTACGACACTTTCTATCACCAACGCCGGGTGAAAATCACCCGAACGTATGCCTCTTGAAAAAACCATAGATGGGAGGAGGGAAACAAACATACCGATGATGACATCAATGAGCAGCCTGAAGCTTCCCAAGTACCCATGCAAATCAGACAGCAGCAACACAATGACAATCACATGACAAGAATC